TTTACAAGTTTAAATTATCTATGAAATCTCCACTTAGTTTATTTATGAGTTGTCATAGTCGACTAGAATTCTGTACTGGGCCGTTATTATATAAAATTATAGATAAACCCGGAGGTCAGCTTCAGAAATAAAGGTTAAGGTCCATGACATAAACATATACGTCAAAGCATCGAAATATTTCAAACGTCCCTCACGTGACCAGACAAGACCTATTGACTTTCAATTAATAATCAGGCGCCCATGTTATTGCTCAAGGAAGCACAATTCAATATAGCATGTTGTGTTTTAATTAATGAAAAATAAACCTGCTCGAGCGATTGCAAATATTATAATGAAAAATAAAATTATATTTGGCAATTAAAAAAAAAACAGACAATGAATATTAAAAGTGAAAAACAAGAAATTGAATGCATTGTATGAAAATTTTATCATATCGAAGGTATGTATATATATCCGTGTACCAAATTTCATTCTTACTTGTTCAATAATTTCGCGTGAAAGAGTAACAAACATCTAAACTTTTACGTCAATAAGTAGGTAGTAATAGAACAAACAATAATTTAATTGGCAAGGATTAACTAATAGATATTATTCATATCAGTTATTTTAATAGTGCATTCGATCAAGTAGTGCTTAGAGAGCGGTACGGGCGAGAGCACGGCGAGCCGTGACGCGGCGAGGTTAAATCGGGGAGTACTGCCCACGCACAACCGCTAATTAGGAAGCGCACGCGCAAGGGCGCTGCACTATGCGCGCGAATCGTATATCAGACCTACTCGAACAAAGACTGGCATCACATAAAAAGAATAAGGACTAGAACAAAAGAAGTGACCGACCAACAATGGTGACGTACCAGAAATATGAGCAGTTACAGACCGTTGTTTTGAAACACAAAGGGATGTTGTGCAAAATTATGTCGCGTTAACTCAGGCGTACGTATCAGGGCAAGTTAATAATTCTAAATTATGATGGATATGGATTTTTGCACTATACAATAAACCACAGTTGTAATGCACAAGCATATAGCGATTGGAATAAACCAAGGAATTACAATAGCATGAAATAGACATAAGTATAGAAGAGAATCCTCCATTGAAGCAAAATGAAATATTTCTTTGATAAAAGTTATACGGCAGAGACAGCCCAGAAGTGCTTAGCTCAAATCATCGCTCCGCGGCACTTTTCAACTGCCAATTTTCCTTTCTTTGTTTTCGGATGTTTGAGTTTTTATAAAAAAAAAAAACTTTCAGACTGTCATTTATTTTTATGTCATTTCTTTTGATGTTGTTCATTGTTCAAAATTACACATTAATATTTTTATTGTTTGATCCTACCACTCAATTTGTGTATCATAATATTATGTAGTTTTTATTAATGTTGATGAACTTTGTAGCATTCTTAAATTTCTGATATGATGAGTCAACATTGAATTCAACACAAAGCACATTGTAATCCAGATTAAAAGTACATAAAAATTAAACAAAGACATTACTTTTGTTGCAAAAATAAAACTAAAATATGTGTACCTTGAACGCCACAGGGAATAAATAACGCACAAAGAGGGACAATATATTTTGTTTAGCGGAAGCACTTAGTTCTATTTCGGTGAGAACACTGACGGCGCGGCGTTCAGTAGTGAGCAATTGGGAGACTGTCACAACACATCACTCCACTACACGGACTTAAAACTATACATAAAAACCTCTAAACACGTCTTGTAAATTTTTCCAAACAGCCAGACACGAAATAGTCTCAAATGAAGTTATTTCCGCAATTTTCAGTAATTTAAATAAAAACTTGTCTCGCTCTAGGTGCATACTCGTACAACGTGAAAAATAAAATTGAATTAACATCCTGATAATAAAACGCGATTAAAAATACAGGTTTTCAATAGCAACACCACCGTGGACATATATTTTCAAAATATCGTATATTTGTAAATTATTGCAACAAATATATGATTGCATACGTGCCAAGTCACTATAAGACTTTTATCGCTTGTTTACGAGTAAATATTTAAAGTTGTTAAAACTTTATTGACTTTGTTGGATTGGATTTTCTAAAAATATTTTAGTACTTATTTCGTTTACGAACCAAAACCGACTAAGTTCTATGACGGTAAAGGCTTCTACTTTACCCTGGATTACATTCACGAAATATTTTCTTCGTGTAGCTCGCGTGTCCTTCGATACTTATCTTTTTTTCCTAAATTCACTCGTTGAAAGGATCTCGTTTAACTTTTGTAATTCATTTTATAGAAAATGCTCCTTTCAGTACTTTCCAATGCGGAAACAAACTTTAAAAACATTGTCTTCAAAGATTCTGAAAACAACAGGTAACAGCTCTTGTTTCAGTTTCATACTTCTTTCTTTGTTTTAATTCGAAAATCATTCTTTCATCTTTTTGACAATTTTCAGCCGGAAACAACTTAAGTAGTCTAAATTTTAAATAAATAAGTCTGTAATAAATTTAATAAGTCTAAATGTCTATTAAAATTTTTGATGTATGTTACGAGTACTAATATTCATCTAATTTAAACATTTGGTAGCCCATTTAAAGTTCCCCGTACTTATCAATGATGAATATAAATTTAACTTCATATTTAAATCGCGAGATATACGTTCCAGGCATTATTTAAACAATCTTTTATTACATGGTATTAATTTTATTTAGGATATATTACTTATATTAGGATCTAGATATAACAAGCATATTAACAGATGGTCCATCTAACGAATGGTTATGTACAAATTTTGAAAATTGATAATTCAGTTTGATAAGAACTAATCTAAAAAATAAGGATAGAAATAACTTGATTGTAACACAAACTGCAAGATTAAATTATCTTTTTAACTCTCTCAAATCTTAGTATCCGTCTTGTTTATTCTATTGCAGGAATTGATAAGAAAGAAGGCGGTCTTGTCCGCACAGAAACATTAGAATTTCAATAAAAAGTTGAAGCAGAATAAATTGTGGACCGAGTAAGATATTGGAACTCTGTACCAGCTGACGGTACCCTAGCCAACATAAGAATCTTATTTGGTACCGGAAAATAATGAACGAAATAATTGCTCTAACTATTCCTCGGGGTACCTTTAACAGCGTTTGCCAAGCCAAAATTTCAGGCTATTGAATCGAGCCCTATTGACACATTGGTTTTAATGTTTATTTTGTGTTGACCTATAATAGTGACCTGTGATAAATTCGGTCGTGGTGTACACATATAATTTATAACAAAAACAATATTTAGTTTGAGGGTGGACTTTATCTATCTACATCGCATACATTAAATACTGACCATTGAATGAATAATTACAATGTCAATGTCATTTCTCATATGCATCCAATAATAGTTCTACCAGTTTCCTTTAAAAAACGATACCTTGCTCACTATCTAATCAAGACATCTGTGGAATCTAATGCATAAATTTGAACTTTATGATTTATTGATTTATATCTACCGAAAGCTCCCAATTTATATTTATTTCTTTACAATCGTTAAAGTCGTTTTCGATACTGCGATTGTACCTACATTGCACACAAACTTACATAAAGAAGGCAATGAAAATGTATCTATCCATAAAAATCACACTGAGCTATAAAAGTACAATAGAATATGTGGCATAAAATTTGAAACATAAAACCGACAGTTATTTCTGTGGATATTTTATATTGCGGTTGAAAGAGATAAATGTTAGCAGTATCGGGATATGACAAAATTGGAGCGTAACCGGAGGCTTGAAATCTATATACCATATACTTATATAGTGGGAAGTAACAAGTCGCGTTGAATAATTGAACCAAACCTTAAAATTGAGATCGTCAAAAATCTATTTAATTTTTTCGGCGATTTCGATTTATAGGATTTTTTTTTTATATTAGTAATAATGACAAGCTTATAGATCACCTAATAAAATGTGATAACCATCAACCATAAAACACCATAGAGATTGCCGAATAATATACTACACAATTTATGGTAACCCTTCACACGCAGTCACTCCCACTACTGTTAGGCTACCATATTATGCCCTTCGTTACAGAGATTGTATTGCTACTATTAGAAATGTCTGGAAAATATTGGTATGGGTGATCTCTGAACAATAAATATTTGTTTTATACAATGCATTGTCAAGTCAGCATTAATATATATATATATATATATATATATATATATATATATAACTTTCATTGAGTTGTCATTTGAATGCTGAATATTTTAATATTGTTTACTATTGAAAAATAATACACATAATCTAATCATGATTGTTTTCGACGCTACGTAAACTTTAGAAAGCGCTAAATTCCGATCATATTAAAATACACAGAGGATATAATAAATAAACGAGCGTACGTGATTTAAATGGGATTATTATTACATTACAAAAGCAAAGAAATGAACAAAGAAAACGAAGGAAATTGGCAATACGAGTAAAGGGCGTGTGCTGCGCAGCGCTCGGCATCGGCCCGCCCTGTGAGCGCTACATATCATCGCGTCCTTGGCACGCAATGTCGACGACACCGAAACACTACTTATCGCAATTTAAATTCGCATAAACACGTATAAAATACACTAGAATTTACATACGCATACTCGATATTATAAACAAGTAACGAGCAAAATTGTTACTTGTCAATTTATTATTCATATCGTTTAAATATTAGCTATTAAACTGATTTTCGATCGCCGCTATAAATCTGCCGGCAATCCAACATATTAAGGTTGCATCTAAATTGCTGACAGCTGAGCAGGCGCTCAGCGCAAACTCAATAACGCCAGAGTGCAGCGGAGATAAAATATAAAGAAAACATTGAAACGGACCGTTTGCTGGGAGTCCCAGCATTTCCGTTGAATCTAAGTAGAAGTGCAATCTTCGACTCACGTGTGAGGTCATCGTACCAGCTTTGTGGCCATTACTGCGACCCAGCCATTCGATCCCGTATGTGTTTACCTAAATATATATTTAGTAATTCGCTTACAGATTAAAGTAAAAGGATACATTTCTTGGAAGAAATCGAGGCTAGGCGGTTGGAGGATGTCTAATGCCGATAGTACCTGTAAACAAGTAAACAAATGTCAGACTGATAATATTTATATTTATCCGATAAACAGACACCCACCACAAATTTTCATACATGACTAAGTTTTGATCAAGTGTTGACGCAAAAGGCTTTTTTATTTGCTTCGATGCCATTGCAATTATCACATAACAATGATGCTAAATTCAGTTTTGCCGTTCGTATGCAAATCATGTTGATACGTGACGAGGGCGACAAATGCATACAGACCACTAACAATATAGGTACGATAATCGATAAAACACAGTGAAAATGAATAAATTATGAAAAGAGCGGACTGCGCATTATAATTATTTCATGATTAAACCCCATCCAAATCAAAATGAAACCGATAATTATCACAAAATGAAGGAAAACAGAATTCCAAATATACTCTATAACTCAAATATATAAATATATTATTAAAAAAAAGTTTATTGGTGCATTTATAAATATGATTTAAATACCACTGGAATAATAAATAAGCTAGTACAAATGATGATGAATGATAAAAATGACACCATAGAATGCATTCTTTGTACTGTGATGCTACTGACGAAACCAGGAGAAGTTCGTAGTTTTGCAATCTTTTTTTCAAGGAAGAAAGGGACTGGTCGCAATGGTGCTTAACAACTTCATTACCAGCAATATACCCTAACAAGTTGACCTTTCATGCGGTTCTGGAAACCATAGTGGTTAATTATTGATAAATTCGTCACGATGGGCTAAATGAACTGTTTTTATCATTACCTATCATCTCACGCTGGTGGTCTGCAATAGCGCAGACGATGTTCCATTTCATCTTAACCCATTAAAAAAAAATTTTTCAATTTGCACACAATAATTCATTAATTTTGAAATTCGACGAAAGCAATCAAAATGATGAATTATATGTAATGACTAATGAGTAAAAATAAATATAAAATGAAACTGTATAATATTACACCACGCCCTTTGAATTTAAGTAGCAACAACGCTCCATATCGTATTCAGGTTGTTCCTATGGTAACCAAGGTTATTTTGATTATTACAGACTACGTCATATATATCAAGACTGATGTTTGTGAGTGAAGTTTTGATATCTCGTAACTTTAAACAGTGTTAGCTCTATTAAATTTACTTAGTATAACGTGAAAACGATCTGAACAAGCTCATACTTGTCATTACCTTGTTAGACATGCCTGCAAAATTTCATGCATTAGCGTCCTTTAATGACAGTGATCTATTTTAACTATGAAACCAAATATTTTTCATTCTAAAGAAACAAATGGAACTTAATAGTTGAACAAACCGTATCAGGGCGGGGAACTGAAATTTTTCGATTTATTTTTTAGGGAAAAATTCAGTTTCACTGTCAAAAAAAACATTTTCTTGTTATTCTACTTATATAAAAAAAAAAATAGAACTATAGAATGACGTCAATTTCAACAGGTAACATGATATAATGTTTAAGGAAGGTCTTTAACTGGATGTTGATAACTTGCATTTATAAAACAAAAATGTGAACTAAAAAGTATAAACAAGGTAATAAATATATACATTATATATTCTCTTTTATTTCTTATCCATACACTTTTACCTTACTGTTGAAATTAGAACAACAAGTTAAAAGTGTATGGATGAGAAACGAGATTTACAGTGTCTATAACACATATGAACTTCTACTGCTATCTTGAAGAGAATTAAAATTAGAACAAAACAGAAGCCTTTGTTAGAAACTGAATGAAACATTGTTGTTTGTGTGATAATAAATATGAATAATATTAAAATAGTAACAACAGCTATAATCTATAATAAACCAACATACTGCGACGAAAATAAATCTACTAGGTATTTTTGTTTTTTTGTATGCGTTTTTTTTTTATATCTTCATTAAAGTATTTTAGATCGTAATGGTAAATCTTTATACGTAATTCTACGGATAACAAAATTTATATCACTTAGAAACAATTAATACTTACATTTTCATGTTTGAAAAAACAGAGCATCTTGAGCTCGCGGAAGACGCGCTTTGATGAGACGAGCGACTGGAAAACGTTGGGCAACTTCTTGAGAGCGACGCGCCGGCCATCGCGCGGGTCCGTCACTGCCCTGCAAACAAAAATACAAAGTTATAAATTGTTAGAATAACAATTAAATCCTATTGTCCTATTAATATTATAAATGCAATAATTTGCAAAAATTTGTAAGAATGGATGAATGGATGACTTTTACACTTTCGCGCCAAAACTACTAAACGGATTGAATAAAATTTGGTACAGGGGTGGGCTATATCCAAATTTATTACATAGAATACTTTGTGTATGTATCATATAAGCGAATCTGCCAGATTAGTTATTTAATAATATTAGGTATTTAATATTAAATGGTTTAGTAATTAAGTTTTAAATAATAATAATAAGTGATTTACAATCACGTCAATCACTTCAAGCTAAAATAGATCTAGGTAATGAAAATCTGGTGTACAACTCAGAACATCTGGACCCAAAACAATTCAGAAAAATTAGTTTTCCAAATTGGGTTGTCCTTAATTCGAACCCTGGATCTCATTTACGCAAAGCAATATGACCACAACTGTGCCACGGAGGTCGACAAAATGTAAAGAACAATACCAAAAACGCATATTATAAAGATTTTAAAATAAAGTATCGAGTAAGCCAGATACCATCAAGAGACTCCCGACTCCTCTTTAAAAAAAACGTTTATGCTCACTTTTATGCTTTATCCTAGCAGTAAGTAATATTATTCTCATCTTCGTATACAATATAGTATATCTTGTATATAAGTATGTATATTTACTATTTATACATATATTTATTTGTTTATATAGTTAATTTTTAGTATGTATGTACATCAATTATTACTATAAAGTTATTTAAGTCGACTGAGATTCCCACAATAATCTTTCTAGGTGAGAGATATTTTTATAAATTACAACATTACATATTTTTCATGATCTCTTTGGTTTCAAATTTCTTACACAATTATAAGAACTACATTGACAATCAAGTATATGGGCTGCTGATGGTATCCATTTACCCTTATTTACATTTGTGATACCAAGTCACGTGCACATTACTGACTCTGTAGAAAACTTTTTACACCCTTTTTATAGAACTTGTGCTATAGTCTCTGGGGAAAATCAAGGCAAGAAGCTCTTTTCACCACGTAGCCTGAATCACATAATGAAAACCGCACCGATATCGTAGTGACTCGGACCATCGAAACCGTTCGTATTAGTCGTATCATCCTCGATTTGTGGAGTCAAATCTAAAATAGTTAAACAGAAAAACGTTTACGTATTAAATGTTGAATACATAAATATATTAGCTAACGCAGCAAGCGTTAGTTTATCCCTTATCGCCAGCTACCGAGCTCATTTTTTATCGGAATGATGAAAGCCCTCCCGAATGAGCTATCCTATTTATCAAGTCGAAATAGAGAAGATACATTTGCGAAATGTTAATAAAATCAAATGATAGGTTTCAAAGATTAACGTGAACGAACATTGTAACACGGAATTTCTTTATATTAGGAATATGTATAATACTTTGAATAATTATGCATTAATAGGTAATATCACTAAAGAGAAATAATATATACTATTTTCACCACAGCACATTTGGATAATAATAACAATATACAGGCAGGAACAGGTATAGCAAATAATGGAAAGAGAAAATAAAATAGGATATAAATAATTCATTAATAATATTTTAGACTCGTATATTCGACGATACGAGTTTTCGTAATAATAGATATAAAAAAAAGCACTGAAAACTTTTGTTTCTCGGTTAACAAGTCGACTTACATGTAATTATAAGGCAATAGGTACGAACTTTGAATAGGACATCCGACGAACGATTTCACAAGTAATTCATGAATGATTTATTTCTACGGGAATCGCGCTACTCAGCTTTCGCGACAAGATCTCTGAACATTTGTTCGCGATCATTTAGGTACTAAGGTCCGTTTAGGTTAGGATTTATCAAATGTGAAATCTAAACAAGGCTTCAAGCAGTGGCCGCACATTGTTTAGTTACTACAATAGATTATCATGACAAAAGGATCCATTAGAAAATTATAATCAATTCAACAACGTGAGTTTAGACGGTAGGTAGGTCGTGATGTGTATTGACATAAACATTATTTAAAGTAAGGAATTAGCATAACAAAGTCGATATTGTGATACGAAAAATGCAGATGAGCACCCCAATGGTAATTTTAAATGTCAGTACGTCTGAATGTGACAATATTGTGTTTTGTTTTACAATATTGACTATTTGCACTTCAAATAACCTTGCATGGAATAAAAAGTCGTGTTTCTAACAAAATCAAGTTTAGATTATAACAGGCGTTAACTGTCCACTGCTGAACATAGTTCTTCTCTATTCGGGTGTTTAGTACTGGCAAAAGACTCCGATAGGGATGCCAAGCGTAGCAACTATTCGAGTTGCCACGCTTGGCATGCGGGTTTACAACCGCAATTAGGTTTTAATGATGTTTTAAGAGGGACACTGCTGTCCCTCGTTTGACTATTTCCCTTAGACGCCTCTTATAACACCCACGGGAACGGAAAGGGTGGCCTATTGTATGCCGAGATCACACGGCAATGAATTCAGATACTATATTACAAATGCTTATGTTGTAGAACTGTCGTCACAAATAATGTAGTTTACACATCAAATATACAAAAGTAAACGTATTGCCAATACAATAACACAAATTCAAATCAAATTGAATCAATTATAATGTATTGGCAAATTTGTAAATTAGTAGAATTGTACCTATTCAGTTTCTCACACTGAATTTCAAAACGGATGCGGGTAATACTCACTTAAATTTATGTTTGGACCCAAAACATTTGGAAAATGAAATCGATACTGTAAAGTCCACTCGTATAGGAACGCAACATACCCTCGCGCTACAGGGACCGTTAGGCGTGCCCTTGCGATTATTATCGTCTGAGCGTAGGGCCGCGATAATATCCGAGGGACACGGGGATGCCAGCCGTGCCGAGAGCAACGACCGAGGCTCTAGCTGCCGGCAGTGCCGCACGCAAGGGACGTTTGAACATTTCAAATTAGGGATGTCCCTGATTTATTGCCTGCGAATTTGTACATCCAAGTCTCAGTCTACGGACAAACAAATATCGAATAATTGACATTACCTACAACGATTCAAAGAAAATAATGGGCACATAGTCGAATTTTTTGAATGAACTTTTGCCACATAAAAAAGCGACTTCAATCTTAAATACACCGATTAACGGTGTGATGTTTCGTAGATGCGTTGTACATTGAAAATATTTGAATTTAGAACACGGAGTAGCATAATTTACAAGTAAATTTCTCTTTCTTTTTGGAACGCAAATAAAAATAGCAAACTTTAATGAACACAATAGGGATATAGGACCAACATAGGAATAAACCCTAACGATTGCAACAAGAATTGTAAAAATCTGTTCGTAATTGTGTAACAAAGGAACAAAAAATTTAGAAATTCTCAATAATTTGTCTATCCTCTGTCAATCTTCTGTCTTTTGGTAATCACTTGTTAGATACTAAACTATTTAATTATGTTCACACTTACTAACTTTACTTATTAGTTTTTTAGTCGTGACTCGACTTTGCCCTCTTGACTGGCATATGTTTACTGACCGGGATAAAAATAACCTATATTCTTCACCATCCCATATAGTAGGTATGTGTATACCAAATTTCATAGTAATTGTGGTTAAGACGTTAAGGCCCAACAAGGTAACAAACAAACTCACTTGCACTTTTACAATATTAGTCATCATCATTATGTCAGCCTTTAATTGTTCACTGTTGAACATAAGCCTCTGCTTTGGGGGGGTTTGCCAGTAGTTGCCACGCTTGGCAGGCGGATTGGCAACCGAGGTTAGGCTTTAGAGATATTTTAAGAGAGACGCTGCTGCCCATCCCACGCCCACCCTTTGTCACCTCTTACGACACCCACAGGAAAGAAGGGGTGGCTATTCTATGCCGGGACCACACGGGAAGTTAAAGATACGTCTGTAACTACAATATTAGTAAGGATTAGAAAATATCTTTATATTATAACTACTATGTAGACAACAATTTGTAAGCTAATTATTTATTTACTTTGCCCTATTTTGTTTTATAATTTTAGTAAACTAATCTAATATTAATATATATTAATTATGGTAGTTTTAAAATTCTTATGGTTCGCTTGACATGGCCACTGACATTTCCAATTTGGCAAACACGCATACATATCGTAAGACAATGGCAGGAAATGTAGTTACTGCTAAACGAAGCACACAAATCATACGGAGCAATATGTACTTTACAACGCGACCATAAAGATTACAATGGCACATAATAAATTAGGCATATAATTTTAGTGCGAATTGTAAAATCGTAAACAGGTTCAATAACTTATAAATTGGCACGGAAATGTAAATAGGGACATTAGTCCTGATTGCACAAATGAAGTTGTAACGTAATAACCGGAAGCTAACATTAATTTCATTTATTAATTAAACATTTTGTGCCGCGGTTAGTTTTTATGAGGTGGGAGTTATGGGGGAAAATAACAATTAAAATTCATTTCACGTACTTAGTCGCAAACTTTTGAATCAGAATACATAATATTATTTATTGGATTATAAATAAGTAACCTTTTGTGCTCATATATTGTAAATACAGATTCTATCATCAGAATCTGAAGACCAAATCAAAACAAATCTTCCAATTTATTATTTATTTATTTGAAATTGAGAAGTTCAATCGAAGTCCTATTCAAAGTTTGTATTCGGGTATTATTTGTGATGAATGGAAAATAAGCTGACGAGGCACCTGAACGAAAATGTAAAGCGTCGCCAATGGATGAGAAAATCACCAGGGATAGCACATTATATGTTATTAAATATACAAAAGGCCATCGATCTGCCAGGTCTTCGTACGAGTAGATAGAAATTAATTTGTAGTGTATGTTACCCGCTGACAATGTAGTTTAAAAAAGTATTTTACAAAACACTTATTTATCCATTACAAACAAACAATTAAATATTTCCTCTCTATAAAATTAGTATAGAGGTATAG